CATGTTGACCAGGATGGTCTCGATCTCTTGACCTCGTGATCCACCCGCCTCGGCCTCCCACAGTGCTGGGATTACAGGCTTGAGCCACCGCGCCCGGCCTACTATAGTTATTTTCTAATCAATCAATATTTTAAAATTTTATTTAGTTTTTTTTGAGACGGAGTCTCACTCTGTCATCCAGGCTGGAGTGCAGTGGTGCGATCTCGGCTCTCTGAAATCTCTGCCTCCTGGGTTCAAGTGATTGTCCTGCCTCAGCCTCCCGAGTAGCTGGGATTACAGGCATGCGCTATCACGCCCCGCTAATTTTTACACGTTTAGTAGAGACGGGGTTTCACCATGTTGGCCAGGCTGGTCTCGAACTCCTTTGAGTTCAGGTGATATGCCCACCTTAGCCTCCCAAAGAAAAATTTGTTTTAATTTCTAATACAGTCAAAATCGATAGATGTAATCCATATAAAGAAAAGATCTGTGAGGTGCTCGATAACTTTTAGGTAGGTAAAGGAGTCCTGAGATCAAAGTTTGGAAGAACCAAGAGTTCACGGAGGAAGAGGAGAGACTTGCCAAATTCTCTGGCACCTGCCATGCCATACTACTCCAGCACGCAAGAACACGGGACTTGGAGCAGCCACAAGCTCGGCCACTTGGTAGCTGCGTGGCTTTGGGGATATGCCCTGTCTCCGCCGTGGCAACTACAGGTAACTAACTGCAAGTTAGGAACTGGGCTCTGCGCTCGACAATTAACTATCCCAGCGGGGTACCGGCTGCTGGTGCCAGGTGAGGGGGCGGATACTGGCATCCTCGAGTGGTGACAGAAAAATACGTGAAGCTGAAGTTAACCAACTCGCACAAGGTCGCACCGCCGTAAGTGGGAACCCTGGGACTCGAACCTCGGCTTCACGCCGAGCCATTCTCGCTACCTGCACCTCGTCACGCCCTCGGTTTCCACACCTTTAAAGCCTCAAAGATAGAACATGCCGCCCACGGGACTGGAAGGAGCTGAGGAAACGACTCCAAGACAAATCACCACTGACCACCACTCCCGCCAGCCCGTCCCGGGGTGCCGAGTCAGCCGACCGTGCCCTCCCCCGCCACCATCCGCACCGGCCTTCCCGGACGGTATCCGCGCCCGTTTCCGCTCAGAGGAGGCCCCCTGCCTCTTCATACTCCACGCGTTCCTCCCTCGTGCGCCTGCAGTTTGCACTAGGAGTTTGGGCTCCAGAGCGCAGGAGCAGAGAAGCGCTTCAACAGCTGCGCGCGACTGTGCGCGCGGCCCCGACGCCTACGCCCCAGCAGCCCCAGCGAAAGCCGAGTCGCAGAGCGCAGGCGCAGTTACTGTTTACTACAGTCCCGGGAGAAGACAGGACTCCCGCTGTCCGACCCGGAAGTGCTTCTCTTATCCGTGGCGGAGAAAGGAGACCGTGGGTCCCTGGGTTGCGGAAGAGGTGGCCGTGCACTGTCGTCAGTATGCAGCGATTGCTCTTTCCGCCCTTGAAAGCCTTGATGGGGAGGCAGTATCTGCGGCTCCTGGCTCGTAGGGCGGCGCCTAGAGCACAGGTACCGCACTGCAGCAGACTCCGAGTCGCGGGAGCGGGGATGGAGTGAAAGGGACAGGATAAAGATAATGGGGAGCCCCACATCACGTTTCCGGAGCTCCTTACAGTGCATTCACAACGCATTTCCTTGTGTTCAGAGCCCCTAGGTTCAGATCTGGACCATTGACCTGCTGTGTGGTATTGGCCAAGTGATTTAAACTTTGTTCTTCAATTTCCTTATCTGTAAAACGGGGATAACAATACTACTTTAAGGTTTGTTATGGGGATTACATTCTTTAAGATGCAACAGGCCTTTAGCACATGATAAAAGCTGAGTAATTTTTACCCGTATAGTTGATTTTTGCTTAAAAAGTTCCAAGTAGTCAGGTGAGGAAGTATAACTGCATTTTATAGAGAAAGAAATTGAGGCTTAAAACTTTTCTAAAGGTGACTCGTTTAATCAGAACTAGGGAACTGAGCATGGATCTTTGGACTTGTAGGGGTATAGTCAGAAGAGGGCATGTGTCTTGCTTGTAATTATTGAGTGGTTATTATATATTAGGAACTGGAAAAAGAAAGATAAATATTATAAGACTCCTGCCCTGGAGGAAGTCACAGTTTATTCAGTTATGAAATCCTTATCATGGTCTCGTTATGTAAAGAAACGATGTTAGAAACAAAGGTAGCAGGAGAGAGAGAGCAAGACAGACAAGACACTGCCATCCCAAAGCTCATAGTTTAGTGGGAGATACAAACAGATGTGCTGCAAAGTCATGTGCTGCGTAATAACATTTTGATCAACGACAGCCACAGATATAGTGGTTGTCTCATAAGATTATAATGGAGCTGCCCTCCCAAGTGTACCTTTTTTTTTAAAAAAAAAATCTTTTTCTCTAAATTTATTTTTTAGAGACATGGTTTTACCTTGTCACTCAGGTTGGAGTGCAGTGGCATGATCATAACTCACTGCAGCCTCCAACTTGGAACTCCTGGGCTCAAGCCATCCTCTTGCCTCAGTCTCTTAAATAGCTAAGACTACAAGTGTGTGCCACTGTGCCTATGGTTTTTTTTTTGTTTTTTTTTTTTGTTTTTTTTTTTTGACAGTTTCACTGTGTCACCCAGGCTGGTGTGCAGTGGCACAATCTCGGCTCACTGCAACTTCTGCCTCCCCGGTTCCAGCAATTCTCTGCCTCAGCCTCCCAAGTAGCTGGGATTACAGGCACCCACCACCAAGCCTAGCTAATTTTTGTATTTTTAGTAGAGACAGGGTTTCACCATCTTGACCAGTCTGGTCTTGAACTCCTGACCTTCTGATCCGCCCGTGTCAGCCTCCCAAAGTTCTGGGGTTACAGGTGTGAGCCACCATGCCTGGCCCAATGCCTAGTTTTTTAAAAATAGAGATGGGGTCTCACTATGTTACCCAGGCTGGTCTCAGACTCCTGGCCTCAAGTGATCCTCTCACCTTGGCCTCCCAAAGCCTTGGGATTACAGGCATGAGGATACCTGGCCACATTTTAAAATCTTTTATACCATATTTTTACTGTAACTTTTCTATGTTTAGATAAACAAATACTTACCATTGTGTTACAGTATTCAGCACAATAACACACCATACAGATTTGTAGCCTAAAAGCAATAAGCCATACCATATAGCTCTGGGGTATAGTAGGCTATACCATCTAGATTTCTGTAAGTACTTTTTTTTTGAGATACAGAGTTACGCTTCGTCACCTAGGCTGGAGTGCAATGGTGCGATGGCTCACTGCAACCTCTGCCTCCCAGGTTCAAGTGATCCTCCCACCTCAGCCTCTCAAGTAGCTGGGATTACAAATATACACCACCATGTCCAGCTAATTTTTGTATTTTTAGTAGAGATAGGGTTTCATCATGTTGGCCAGGCTGGTCTTAAACTCCTGACCCAAGTGATCTGCTCACCTCGGCCTCCGAAAGTGCTGGGATTACAGGTGTGAGCCACCACACCCAGCCTTTAGATTTGTGTAAGTCTATGAGGTTCACACAGTGATGCAAGTGCTTAAGAATGCATTTCACAGAACACATGTCCCTCTTGTTAAGCGAAGCTTGACTGTACGTTACAGTGTATTAAGGGCCATCCAGTGTACTGTGGGAATGACCTATTGCAGACCTTGAAAAGCCTGGGAACACATTCCAGAGGAGGTGACATGTAAGCAGAGATCTGCAGTAGGTGTTATCAATCAGGGGACAGGAAGTGTACCAGCCAGAGAGAAATGTTTAATGACCTACATGTGAAAAAAAATAATTCATATCTGTAAGCTGAGTGAAGTCTGAGGGACGTATGCAGAGATGAGAAGATTGATGTAGTTTGGGATAGGCTTGAGTGAGGCAAGACTTGAAAACCGATTGGAAAACCAGTTGAAAGGTTGATGCAGTAATAAGAGATCATGACTTACCAAGGCGTAGCTGTGGGGATGCAGCTGTACAGGGTACTTCACCCTAATCAGAATGGGGTTGAGTGTGGGTAGCAGCCATTCCGTTTCTCCAGTTGTAATTTGTCTGTCTTGATCCTTAGTGTGATTGCATCAGACGCCCTTTGGGGCCAGGGCAATACAGCACCGTCTCTGAAGTAGCTTTGCAATCTGGAAGGGGTACAGTGTCCCTTCCCTCAAAGGCAGCTGAGCGGGTGGTGGGCCGATGGCTCCTGGTCTGCAGTGGAACAGTGGCTGGAGCAGTTATTCTTGGTGGAGTAACTAGGTGAGTAATTTGCTCATAGTGAGTTAGGGATCATTAGTGGATCATTAGCAGAAACACAAGATGATTGAGGAGAAAGGCTTTTTTTTTGAGACAGAGTCTTGCACTGTCACCCAGGCTGGAATGCAGTGGTGCTATCTTGGCTTACTGTGACCTCCGCCCAAGTTCAAGCGATTCTTCTGCCTCAGCCTCCCGAGTAGCTGGGACTACAAGTGCCCGCTATCATGCGCAGCTAATTTTTGTATTTTTAGTAGAGATGGGTTTTCACCGTGTTGACCAGGCTGGTCTCAAACTCCTGACCTCAGGCGATCTGCCCACTTCGGCCTCCCAAAGTGCTGGGATTACAGGCATGAGCCACTGCGCCCAGCTGGCTAAAGGAATTTTACAGAGCCTCTAGTCTAGTTCCCTCATTGTGCAGATGGAGAAACCAAGGCCTTAAAGAAGGAACATATCTGATGGCTTGCCCTGCCATAGAATAGTTGAGTGTTTTATTAGTGGGAGCCTTCTAGAAACACTGATTTACATCTTAACTAGTACCTGTGCATTGTTTATGTATCTTTTCTCTTCCAATCAGGGTTCAAGTTTGTCTCAAAACTTTTTTTTACAGTTGTTTGAATTAAACCCAAAGAAGTTCTGTGCATCACAATTGGTTCATGTTTCTTAGGTTTATTTAAACTATGAGGAGACTATAGATTCAGATACTCCTCCCTTGCCCCTTTTAGTTGCTGAGGAAACGCAAGTCATTTGTCTTATAATTTTGCACAGTCTAGATTTTGCTAATTGCATAACTGTTGATGTTTAACATGTCCCTTTGTCCCCTCTCTTTCCTGTGACTGGATGGTTGCTTGATCAGATTCAAATTGGGGATGAGGGAGCAAAATACTTCAATAGGTGAATAGAACATTCATGAATATCTGGTGTCTATTATAGATGTTAACAGCCATTGATTACTATTGCCTAGATCCATTATTTCATTAGCATAGCAAAATTATAATATTTTATTAGCTCAACTCTAAAAAGCATTCCCTCATCAACAATTTGGATGTCCCAAGGTATAGTTTATATAGGAAAGGCAGGATAAATACTTGATTCTTCTTTCCCTTTATTTACCATTTTTCAAAATAATAATTTAGTCCCCCAAATCCTCCAAAGGCAATAAATAAAGCATTTGAGTTTTAAGGCTCATTATGAGCTCATAGGTTCAAACACACTTGATATGTTTCAGTCCATTGTGATGATGGTGTTAATGATTTGCTCAAATTGTCCCATCTTTAGTCAGTGGGCATCTCCTGAAATTGGCTCTAGTGACTTTTTGGCAGGGCCCTAATTACCTTTGATAGCTTCCTTACTTTCTAGTATGACAAGATGTTCCAAGCTCACCCTATACATTTCTTGCCTCAGGCCTAATATCAGGCTTTTACTTTAGGAATCCTAACTCCTTTTGGTGAAAAATTTTCTGATTTTAATCAAATGTGTCTTCTTCCGATTCTCTTCACATTCCATGTCCCTTATTTCAAAATACCTTATGTGTTATATAAGCTATGAGCAAGTGCAACAAATTTGAATTTTATTGTCAAATTTACCCAAGAATCTAAACCTGTGTACATATAAACAGATCTCTTTTCCCTGGGTAAATAATGTTGGTTATGCATTTAGAACACATTTCTTTGGCTATAGGGATTGATTTTGCCTGTCAGGGAATGCTAGTGAAAGAATTGGGTAAAAAAAAAAAAAAAAAGTGAATTGGAGAGACTTGAATAAAAGAATTGAGAGAATGTAAGGGTAAATAAATTTGCTCCTGATGGCAGCTGTTTTCTGACAAAATTCTAAGCAGTTAGAAAGAAATGTCTCAAAAGAGGAAACAAGGAAACAATGTGTTTACTTTGAACAAAGTTAAGTTCAGATCCACTTGTTGCTGTAAACCTTTTGTGAGTAATCCAGCCTCACGCACACACCCCAAAAATTTTTTCTTATCCTAAGGTTGACAGAGTCTGGCCTCTCAATGGTAGATTGGCATTTAATAAAGGAGATGAAGCCACCTACAAGCCAAGAGGAATGGGAAGCAGAATTCCAAAGATACCAGCAATTTCCAGAATTTAAAATGTAAGTGTTAGAGAAAATTAGGTAAACATCCCAGTAGGCCTATTTGATCTTTTGCACTTAAACCCTTCAGAATGGTTAGGTTATTTCATGATCTTTGGTTCAGTTATGTTTAGTGAGCTTGTATTCTAAGCCTCTAAATCCAAAGTCATTCTGAGGCCGTTGATGAGGAAGAGGGCAGACCTACCAAGTTGCAGGATTGAGAAAGTTTTTGCATTCCATGAAAAAATAAAAATCAGAAGGATGTTTCCTCTTTCTTCTTTTTTGACTTCCCATTTCACCCAGCTTGAATCATGATATGACATTGGCAGAATTCAAGTTCATCTGGTACATGGAGTACTCACACCGAATGTGGGGTCGCCTTGTAGGCCTTGCATACATCCTGCCTGCTGCCTACTTTTGGAGAAAGGGCTGGCTCAGCCGTGGCATGAAAGGACGTGTTCTTGCCCTCTGTGGCCTAGTCTGCTTCCAGGTAAGATTAGGCGGAGAAACCAGAAATGCTCCCAGGAACTTCCTAGCTGACATTGTTTTTAAGGAAATAATCTCTGAGGCACTTTTAATAGAGTAGGTAAGAGAGTGCATTTTAGTGTCACAGGCCTCGCTTCAAGCCCCAGCTCTGCCACTTAGGGCAAATTACCTAACCTCTGAAAGCTATGATTTCTTTGCCTGTAAATGGGGATAATAGTGCTCAGCATGTACAGTTGTGTAAATATTAAATGAGATAATCCATATTTGAAGCACTTAGTTTAGTGCCTGGAATCAGTAAGCACTAAGTAGTATATTTTCATGTGCTACAAGAAGTAGAGTTTGTTTCCCATCATGGGTGTCTCCCTAACTTCTTGTCTCTTCCCTTTTTCTAACTTGCCTGCTGTAGGAAAGTGGGATCCCTGTGCTAGAATGCTACAGAAGCTTATAGGAAGATTCCAAAAGAGAGAAACATTTTGTGGGATGAAGGACTGTAGAATACAGATGTAGCTGAGAGATAGTCAGATATAAATGGCAATTAAAATCATGTAAGTTGAGCTCCTCTTAAGGAAATACTCCCACAGTTAACAGGTTAGTACTGCTAGGATGATGGAAAAAAAAAAAAAAAAAAGTTGGGTGAAACTGAGAGCCAGGAATTAAGGGAGAAGATACATGGGAGTATTTGGGTCAAGGTATAGAGATCCTGAAGGAGATTATCAGAGCATCAAAGAAATATCATCAAAAGTTGACTAGGAAGAAGCTAATTGGTTAATTTAAGTCAGAAGTGGTAGCAAAATGAGCCAAATAGAAGGGATGAAGGCGGGCATGGTGGCTTATGCCTATAATCCCAGTGCTTTGGGAGGCAAAGGTGGGCATATCACTTGAGGTCAGGAGTTCCAGACCAGCCTGGCCAACATGGTGAAACCTTGTCTCTACTAAAACTGCAAAAATTAGCCAGGCATCCTGACATGGGCCCGTAGTCCCAGCTACTTGGGAGGCTGAGGCAGGAGAATCGCTTGAACCTGGGAGGCGGAGGTTGCAATGAGCTGAGATCACGCTACTGCACTCCAGCCTGAGTGACAGAGCAAGACTCCATCTCAAAAAAAAAAAAGAGAAAGTAGGAATTAAGGAGGGAGATGAGAGATAAGAAATAGAGGCAGCAGACACAGGTAATCATTAGACATTACTCAAAGTCTAATAGTAACCAGAGAAAGGCAGGTAGAACAAAATGAAAGTTAACATTTTCGAATTAGAAAAACTAACACTGAAAACAGACTATTTGGAGGCAGAAATTGAAGATGTCAGATAAGGTATGGGAGAAGAAAGTGGGCTAGTGAATCACACTGTGTACGTCTTCATCTTTCAGTGTCTCACGCAGATGAAATCAAGGTAATTAGAATATGCAGGGTGATCTTGAAAAGGGAGAGAAATGCCCAAAAAGATTTCCTGAAGAGTATATATTTAGAAGTGGCAGAATCCACCTCTTTGGCCTGAATCTACTGAGTTGGGCAGGTGGGGGTGAAAGGGCTATGTCTTATCTCATATGATTAGAACTGATAATTGTTTGATTAATTGAAAAAACCAGTTAAAGCAGAGAATCATAGAATATGATACATACCATAAACTTTTAAACTTAAATCTGTACTTTCATTACCAACTTTTAAAAAATCAAGGGCTAAAGCCTTTTCTTTGACTATGCATCCCCAGATTAGCATTCAATTGCAGGTTTCTTATATCCCCATAAACTATGATTTTGCTTAAAGAGGAGTGGGAACAGATATTTGCAAAGCGATCTGCATGCAAAACCTTACTGATTTTTATAATTTCCCCCAAAACTTTTATAATTGTCTTACTCCAACCTAACTTGATGGTAGTTGTTTTTAAGCATTTACCTTTATTAAGTTTCTCCAAAGTATTCAGTCTAGTTTTATGAGATATATGCATGGACCTTTTTTTCTTTTTAAGCTCATCAGCTATCGTTAATGTATTTTATGCATGGCCCAAGACAATTCTTCCAATTTGGCCCAGGGAAGCCAAAAGATTGGATACTTCTTATCTAAATAGTAGTTAGGTATTAATGGCGATGTGTGAAGAGTTGTGAATAAGTCATGAATCTTGGGACAGTGCATATTGGGGAGGGTATGGAAAGAGAAGGGGTAGGGTAGAGAGTACTCCTGATAGCCCACTTCCTCAGTAAAGTTGAACAGATCTTTTTAACCTTGTTTTGTTTGCTTTGTTGCTTGGGGGTTCTAGGGTCTGTTGGGATGGTATATGGTGAAAAGTGGACTAGAAGAAAAACCAGACACCCATGACATCCCTCGGGTCAGTCAGTACCGCCTCGCTGCTCACCTGGGATCAGCCCTGGTTCTTTATTGTGCCAGCTTATGGACCTCGCTCTCACTGCTGCTCTCTCCACACAACGTGAGTTGTATGGAAATATCTCTTCAACACCCCGCTTTCAAATTCTTTTGGATATGTATCTAGAAGTAGAATTACTGGATCATATGGGAGCTGAATATTTTGCCAACATTTTCCATTAGGAAAGGTGAAACACAAATTGAAAAATAGAGTGGGAGGGAATACCAACAACAAGAGATAACCCCATCACTTTACCTTTGACTCCCAGAAGGGATGGTGGATGGCAAGGTGAGGAAGATCAGAACAGGGGTGTTTCTGA